TTAATAATATTTTTAAATATTATAATTATTTATTTAAATATATATTATAGTTAAATTTTGGTGACTCAATAAAAACAAAAACAAGTGACGGCGATAACCATCCCCTGAGTCAATATCACCTCTTTATTGAAATAATCAATAATTCATATTGGAATAACCTCCAAGTTTCATTACCTATTTTCAAAAAAAATAAAAAATAAAAAACCTCCAAGTTGGCCCTGAACATAAATTTGTTTTTAATCCAGCTCCATAGTTTATGTTTGGGTGAACTCAACCCTTGTACCGTACAATCCTGTCAAATTTTCTTTTAATGGTACAATCTAGTCCATTAATTATCTAGAATTGGCTTGGTTATTAGAGCTACAAGTGAGTTGGTGTTAAATTGAGTAGCTTGCCAATTACCCAATTAATTTATAATTTTAATGATAAATTTAGGTAAAAAATGTTTTCTGTAGATTAAATTAATTAAATGTTGGATTATTATTGCACACGTAATCAAAAGAATCAAAATAAGGTCTTAATGACTCAATGACACTTAATTGAAGTAATATGGTTTATCTTGCTAAACTACACTAATGGTTTAATATGAAGGAATCAGGCTTTTAGACCCAATGGTTCGACTCCGAATCTTAAGTGTTTGGGTGAGGTGGTGGGAGTTTCGAGTTTCACCACCGTTGTGAATTTCACCAAAAAGCGACATGATGATCGCACATCTCATTTGAGGGGGTGAAATGTTCACCCGGTTTAAGAATTAATTGCTAATAATTAATTCATACTAACTCCCTAACCATTACCCTTGTAAAAAAAAATTTTTTTTTTTCTTTTTGAACTTAGAGAATTGGGGATTTTTTTTTTTTTTTTTTTGGAGTGGGGGAAGGGAGCCAAGGGTATAGAAGTAGAACCCCGGTCGGGTGGGCGAAGAGGTGATTACGCTTTAATACAAAGGTTTTACTTGGTTGAAAAATAGGTTTGAGGGTTAAAGTAAAAACAAAGCAAGTTTGAAGACTAATACAGGAGTTTTTCATCAAACTTGAAATTTTTGGTGGTTAGTGTTGGAGATTTCTAAAAGTTCCTTGTTTTTTTAGTTTGAAAAATCCTTTTTTACAGGGACAAGATAACTAGTAAACTATAAAAACATTCTTTTAAAAGTTTTAAAAGTTTTTGGTTTTTATTGGATAAACATTAGAAATGGGTCCCAAAAGACATGATTAGGAAAGGATCTGGCAAAATGCCAGGATGATTCTGCCATCCTGTATTTGGGCTTATTAGCTTAAGAATCGATTATAAAAACTAGTACTAGCAAAGGACTCATTATTTATTTATATTATATCAGAGATTATGATATTTTCGAAGATTTCAGTGCAAACAATTGTAGATCAAGACAAGCAAGTGAGCAACTTACGGTGTCAAGTTTGTTTTTGTTTTTGTTTTGGGGTGGTTCATGTGATAATTAAGTTAATAGGCTAAATAGTTTAATTTTTTTTAGAGAAAAATAAGATATTTTAAATTTAAATTATATGATATATAAATAAAGTGTGAATAAAATAAATTAAAAAATAAAAAATAATTTTTTTATTAAATAATTTAAAATTAAAAAATATATAAAAATAAAAATAGATAGAGAGAGAATATGATGGTTCAAGAAAATTGGAGGTTAATTAATTAATTAGCATATTAAATTATTGGTTTATGAAGCTAATTTAGCAATTAATGCCAGCTTATTGCAGCCAAAGGTGGGAGAAGATAAGAAAGAAAGCGAAAAAGGAACCAATAGCAGCGAAATGACCTTGAAGTAGTGAAGTAGTATTTTAGCTTTTCTAACACAATAGTGGTTATGACACAGGAAGTTAAAGAAAATAAACTTTCATTATGTAACCAATGATAAAATAAAAGCTTGATGGCATCCGGCCCTTTGGTCAAGTTGTCTCCGACCACCTGATGTATTTCCCTCACTTTTGGACAGAGTTTTACCTCACCCCATGTAATATTGTTCAAAAAATAAATAAATAAAAGCCTGATGATTGTAAAGAAAAAAAATAAAAGGGATAGAATGGCATTGACGTAGACAGATAGCGTCCAATTTACACGTATAAAGCAAAAGCAGAACGAAAAAGTAAGTGAGATGTGACAAAGGTTTTGAGGAGAGAATTTGCTGAGATCCAAAGAAATGATCCATGGACACACGTCATTTCTCTGGCCGAATGAGTAATTATCGGTAATGCATTACTCAGCTCCACCAATGAGTTTCAGTGCCTTGAGTTTTAAGGATTTAAAAGACGGGTCTTTTAAAAAGTATAGCAAACAATAAATAAATCCAGTGCCATTACACTTAAAATTGAGAAGACTAGAAAATGTTGTTGTGTTCCAATGATTACTACTTTTTTTTTTTTATAAAGAATTTCTTATATTAAACAGGATAAATATAAGGTTTAAATTTCACTTTTATCATAAAAAAAAAAATGAGAAAACTGAATTTTAAAGTTGAATTACTAATAAAAAATATTATTTTGTAAATTAAGTTTATAATTCAAATATTAAGATATACACTTAAAAGTAATTATTTTTTTTAAAGTGTAATAAATTAATATAAAAATATACTTTTAAGATTATTTAAAAAAATTAATTTTTTAATAAGGAAAAAAAAACCCCTAATCAACTATATCTTTGCTGTTCAAATCAGAATATAAATATATATTTTATTCTCTTGACCAAGACTTTAGGAGATTAAGGGCAATTCTAAAGGCACAGCCCCCTGCAGCTAGAGCAATTTAAAGTTATTCCCCTTCCATTCTTTTTGATTTTGGGGAAGAGGTGATTCAAACTCATCTCTAAAGATGAAGGGCATGTATTTTATTAATTGGGTTAAGTGCTACATACAACAATTCCAGTTCAATAAAACATTTAACTTCACTCTAGATTACGTTGGCCAATAAACAAAATACTCTAAATTACCCATTACACATTAAAAGTTAGGTAAATTGCTAAGGCCACAGCATAGTAAACAAAGGTTCTGCATGTGATAGGCGGAGAGGTACCACTTAGCTTTGCAAGTGGAAACACCGCTGGGGTGTATAGTGTTCGATCCAACCCCCCTTCCTCCTATAAAAAAAATATAATGATAGTAATAGGTAATTGTCCTTCAAAAAAGGAAAAAGAATACTAAACAAAGAAAAAGTAGCCCCATGCTTAATCGCGATGCAGACCAGATCACTAAGAAACCAGAAGGGATAACAATTTTACAGTCCACCCTGTGTAGACTGCATATTTTCTAATCATTGATAGAAAGGGACAAAAACAACAATGTTACCAACTGCTTACACTTAAATCTGCTCTACAGCGAGTTCAAACTGCATTGTCAACTTTCTCCACTGATTTACTGCCGCATGGAAGCTGAGTTACGATATTCAACAAGCCAAAGCATATAGAAACAAACATTATACAAACTGAATGCATTCACTGTTGGCTGTGTAGTCCAACACATAATCTAATCAAGTGAAATCATCAATAACTCCTAGAGGAAATCCTAATGATAAAAGTCTTAAAATGAATGCAAACAACTTATTTTGTGCTTACTTATAATAAATGTTTCTAACAAAATATCTCTTAAACTTCAACCATTCCACACACATGACTTACACAACATAGATGCAAGAAACAATAAACAAAATGAAAAGAATTTTCCTTTAGTGATTATAAGTGCTGCACAGCACAACAAAATTTTATTTAGATGGTTGTGATACAATCTGAAGAGCTGTTAGCTATTTCAACTAGCCTAGCACAATCTATAATGAGATGAGATAGATTGCATGGAATGAGGTAATCACTGGAGCAAAGGGAGTTCTTCTTAAAACACTCAACATCTTAAATAAATGATGTTTCTTCCTTGACTATTTGACATAGTTTCAATGCATATATATGGATGTTGCTAACATTGAAATGCCCATCAGCATATGAGTGTACATTTTCCAAAGAATAGGATCAGTAAAGTCTGTTACATTTCAACCATTATTACTCCACCCTTCTCGTCTCTTTATTCCCCCACTTAAGCCTATCACTCGCACTTAAACTGCTTCATTCATAACAGAACAAAGTATAACTCGTTTGCTTTGTTTGTGGTAAACCAAAACTTGTTCAACTCTTTCCAACGTAGTAGTCCCTTCACTTCTAAGCCTGCCTCCATTTCTTTCTCTTGAAAGAAGGGAAAGACCAAAAAGTCCTAACAATCTATTGAAACAATAAGGACAAAAATTCAAAAACTTATCAGCATCTTACGTTTTGCAAGCTATAAATTCCACTTTTGGCAATATTAGAAAGACCTCTTCTATGGTAACTCTCTTCAGCTCAGCAGAACATAAATTCTATAGGCAACCAACAAGAAGAAAAAGAGAAAAACTATTAGAGAAAAGTGAAAATTTTAAATGCCATGAGTGCCTATAAAATTGTTCAAATGTCCTTAATGAATCTACCTTACATGTTGATTGTTGATTCATTAACGATATTTGAATCTTTTCATCATCATTCTAACATTTTAATCGCCAAGGCGTTCTGATTTTCTGCAATTCCAAACAATTATCATCACAACCCTCATATTGTTTTTCATAACTATAATGATGCCACCCTCCATGTCAAGAGACGGCAACATCATTCCCTCTGTCTCTTGTCATTAAACTCATCATTATCAAAATTAGAATGATCATAAAGATAACAAACAGCATTAAATAAGAGAATATACACCCTCCAACACAATCCACACAACATAAAGATAGAACAGTCCTTCCCAAAATCACCCATTAGCCATCAAAGTTAGAGCACTGGTTTCCGGATAAAGTTAGAAAAAAATATAATAGTAATTTACAGTAATTTCAATTGTCAACTGATATTAAACGGAAGAACCCTAACCAGAAACACCAGATGCACAAAAATGTAAAAGACAGAAAATTGCAATTCTATATTTCCATGAAACTGATCTCGGCACTCTCAAACACAACAAAGACCAAGAAACACATCACCAGCAACCGAGATTCATCAAAAAGACAAATATATATATATATATATATATATATATATATATATATACACACACACATAGAAAAAAGGTATCAGTGAGAATGACCGATTCGCGGCAAGTCCAATCACCTAGGAACGGAAGAGAAGAGACGCATCACGGTTTCTCGCTGCTCGTGGAACCGCCGCTTGAGGTAAGACTCGAGGATCTCGATGACGGAGAGGAAGCGCTTCATCTCCTCGAGTTTGCGGCTGAGCTCGGCTTCACGAGATCTGGCTTGTTGGAGCCGTGCCTCGTTCTCGGCGAGCCGCCTGAGGAGATCCTCCACCACCACTGCATTGGCGTTTGAGGAACGGCGGTGGTCGGGAGATAAGGATCGCTGGCTACCTTCGCACATGTCCAGGGAGAAAACCTTACTTTTCAGAATTCAGAAATTTTGTTTCTAAAGATCTTAAGTGTGTGAGGCTTGCAGCGTTTTAATTTGGGCCGCCGTACGTACTTAATTTACATATTGGCAGGCCGGTTAAATTTATCTTAACTTTAGCCTATTTATAAATATGATATGTAATTGAAATTCAATATTTTTTACTTTTATAAAAAAATTATTATTAAATTTCTTAAATCATTAGGTGGGTTGGCTTTTGTATTACAGAGCATCAATGATAGTTAATGTGGGCCGTTGGATGTAATTATTGATATATAAATCAACTTGGTCACACTTGGATCGTATTAATGGAAAATCATATAGTTATAATATTGTGTTATATTATAAATTATAATCTTTTAAATTTAACCATATAGGATGTTTTAGTAATTAAGAGCTGGAGTCTTTATATTGAAAATCTTAAGTTCAAATTCCAAAATAAGTGGAGAGAGATTTGGGAAGAAAAATATTAGTTTTTGTTGTATAACTCATTTTTTTATATATATAAAAAAATAATTTTGTCAATTTATAATCATGATATCTTATTATATGATTGATTCATTTCGTACAAGATTTATTTATGTGAGATTATATGTATTCACTTATTTAATAATATATTATAATTATAAACTTATAATTTTAAGTAAAATTGTGATTGTAGTATTGGTGAAGGATAAGTTCTCGAGTTTTTAACTTGGCTAATGATCAATGTATAAGGCCACAAGCATGGTTATGGTTGCAAAACAAATTGTTAGGACAACATAAATTTTTAAGTTCTATATAAAATATTACTCCACTAATTTTTTTTTAATTCGATTGTTAGAAGCAACTCATAAATGTAACTACTAGTAATAAATAAAAAAATAACTAATATTTTTTATTCAATAAATTTAAATAAGTCTATGCATGAATATTTTTAAATACTTTAACTCACTATTTACGAGGGGAAAAAAAAAAACTTGCATGCATAAACACTTTGTGGGTGGCATTAGCCACTTCCTCAATGTACAGCTTGGTTTTTGTCATTTCCCCTTAATCAATGTACATGTCGATAAAAGAACTAAATTCGAAATACATACGTAGAAGAAGACTTAGATATGTTTGGGAATATGCATTTGTGTTTAGAGTGTGTATTTTAAATACATATATTTAAAAAATATATATTTTAAAATACATTATTTAGATTAAATAAAAAAAGAATTTCAAGTACATATATTTTAAAATACATTGTTTGAATATATTAAAATATTATGCATTTAAAATTAAAATTTTATCATAAATTAAATATTCTTTTAATTATCCTTTAAATTTAATAAAACTAATGTTAACAATTTTGGTCTTCCAAAGCATTATTTAAATTGTTTCAAGTCAAACAAATTAGATAAAAAAAGGAACAAATTAACATCTAGAAGAATTATCAACCATATTCATTAGTAAGGTAGGTTTTCAATAATCAATTCATGTGATTATTCAAATATTCATAATTTTTTAAATAAAAAAATCATCATAATATCTAATATCCTCTTCAATTAAAACATTAGAATTGATTAAAAAGTTTGTATAGCAAAACAGAGAAACAACTTCCTCTATTTAAACATTTTTACATAACAACTAACCTTTTAGTATTTCTTTTAAAGGAGATATAGGACAATTTATAATCAAATTCTCTTTCATGTCCCTCTAAAAACAAAAACAAAAAAAAAAAAGGGAGAGAGAAACTGCTAAGGAAATCTAGCCTATCCATATTTTTTTTTCCCTCAAAATTTCCTCAACTTTCTCGAGAAACAAACAAAAGACGCTAATAATGCAAAACTCTCATGCTTGAAATCTTGCCTTAAAATAAAAATTATCCAACAAAGAAAAAAAATTACAACCATAAGGATCTCTCAAATACTAAAAAGAAAGGGTTGAATCAAAACAAATTTGAGCAAAATCAACACACAAATAAGACCCTCACTATGCACAAAATCAAATTCAAGAAAATAGAGAATCTGCAAAAATAAAAATAAAAAAAGTAAACAAAAAGCAAAAAAAGCAAGAAAAAATTTAAACGCCTATCGGAGAAAACGATGTAGAAGAGAGAAAGAAAAGAAGATGAACCAAAGCTTTCATTGTGGAGTCAAGGTTTCATTTTTTAACCAACATTCCTCCAAGTCTCAACTCCCATTTGTGGGCTCCTCCCTCAGTTGACTCGTCGCTGCCACCGTTGCCGCCAAAAGTTGTGCTGCTATGAGTCATGGGTGACAACCTAGTCTTCGTCCTCATCATTTTTTTCTTTAAGAAAACATAGAAAATAGAGGAGATTGAATGGGACTTGTCGAAGCTCACTGTCGAGCCTAGATCTCCTGTACAGAATGATACCAATTGGCGAATTAACTGGAAAATTGACTCAAGTTGTAGGCGATGATGAGAAGGTGAGAGAGTAGTAGCACAGTCGACGATGAACAAAAGTCACAATGGAGGTTTTCTCGCCGTCGGGGTGCGGAGAAAATATAGGGTTTGAAATTGAAATCCATGGGTTTAAGGATGAATTTGAAATACACGGATTTTAAGTCCCTCAAATACCTGGATAAAATACATGTATTTTACTTAAATTCAATTACATTTTATTTAATTAAAACAAACAATAATATTGAATTTGAAGTATTTAAATTCAAATACACCCCATCAAATTCATGTTTCCAAACCAAAAATTAAAGATATTCAATGATCTAAAAGAAAGGCCAAACCAACATGTTCACACAGAAAAACTTTCAAAAGGGGACCACAAAAGGAGAATTTTGTGTTATGCAAAGTGAAATGCAAAAAAACAGAATATCATGATCCTCTTACATGAAATTTGCGGTTGATGAAATCTGCTACGGTGAGTTCTATCCATAAACAACTAATGATGATGGAAAACATCTAATTGCAAGTATATCCATATAGCAAGAAAAAAGTATTTACTATTGTTTGGTCTTCACCAGCTTCCTCATTTATGATCAAAGAAGACACAATTGCAAGTATATTTGAATAGCATAAAAGAGGAAGAGTGTATTTAGTTAGGACAATGCTACATTTACCCTCCTTTATCACACACTCCGTTACACCCACTTAGTCTCCGTTATTTTCCCGTCAACTCTCAAATGCCCCCAACCCAACTCTTTCTTTTTCTCTTTCTTTTCCTATCTCTGTAGTTCCAGTTGATTCTCGAACATCTCCGATCATTCCCTTGTTTTCTCAAATGGTCCATCGCTACCACGATGCTTTTCCATTTCTTGTGGGTTGTTGGACAATAGAACATCTAAGGAAGAACACTGGAGAGAGAAGCATCAAACCCTGAAGCAAATCTAGCGGAAGCATCAAACCCAGAAGCAGATTTGGAGGAAGCAGGGGAAACGGCACTGCAGGGCGGTGGTGGCGAAAGCAGATCTGTTGGGGGCGGGTTCGACGGAATCGAGGTTGTTAAAAGGAAGATGAGGCTGCAAATGATTAGGATGAGGATGGAGGTGAGGAGGAAGATGGATCTGGTGAGGATGCTGAACAGTAAGGAGATAGGAAATGAGAGAGAGAGAGAGAGAGAGAGAGAAAGGGCTGGGCTGGGTGCTTAACGGAAAGAAAATGTTGGGTTGCTGCTGGGTCAATTGAAGGAACCCAACTCGAAGCATGTTCTCAATCGCTTCTTTTCTCCCATAATATGCAATTCCCAGTACGCAATCGAGGTTGCAACTTGAATCGAAATGTTTTCTGAGCGCAAGAGGTTGATGATTCTCATGATTTCTTTGTATGTTTCCAGTTCATCAACCAAAGGGATTCTGATGGTTTTGATCACCAAGGAGGATGGTGAACAGTAAGAAGGAGAAAGGAAAGGAAAGAGAAAGAAAGGGTTGGGCTACGTGCTTAACAGAAACTAACGGAGTTTGAAAGAGTAAGTGAGTGTAACGGAGTGTGTGATAAAGGAGGGTAAACGTAGCATTGTCCATTTAGTTATCTCCAATATCTCAATTAAAAAACTAACTTAAAAGCGGGATATGGACTTTTAAGGGGATATAAAATGAGTTTCTTTATTTTCTCAGTTTT